TAGACAAGCAGAATTACAACTATCACAAAAAGTTTTTGTTTAACCCCGAAAAGAAAGGAATAGCATTATGAAAATAGTTTCTAAAACATAAACTACGCTTCCTCCTCCGATCTTGAAATTACTAGGCAGAAGAAGAACAAGAATCTAAAGCCAGAAAAATATCTCCATCTAACCCCTAAAGTAAATGTCTCAGGGTTCATCTTCAAAATGCATCATGTTTATGATATGCAATCCTGTCGAGCACTAAGAACAAATAACAAAAAAAAGCAGCAACAATGAAACAAGAAAAGCACAAACTTAGTAAAATCGTGCATAAGAGAATGTATAATACTATGTGATATTGATACCCAATACCACTACAACCAGCACAGAGAATGATTATTAAGAAAAGGAACCAATAATAAAACAGGAAAATCACAGCCTAGTAAAATCATGCATAAGACAATGAACTAAAGCAGCACCCTGAAGCTGGACCTCATGAACACCTTTCCTTTTCCTTTTTAAGGAACAAGTTTACGATCCCATCTCATAACTCCAAGAAAAAGCAAATCATCCATAATTATAAAGTTCTCAATTCTTTAATGCTCATAGCCGACGGGAAAAAACAATGCATCCTCCACTCTTCTTTTATTTATGATAAAGAAAAATGATATTAGAAAGACAGATGATACATAGTGGAAGGACAAGCTACCTTCAATTCATTGTAATTAAAAATCCAAGGACAACAATCTGGAGAATAAAAAAAAGTCTCCATGAAAACCTTGTTCTTGTGTACACATCAAAGCACACACCTCGGTAAGTATCATCAAAATGTGTTTACATGATACATACCCAACACCTTTCCCGTATCATTATTAAACAAAAAACAGATCAAAGCTAGTCCTTGTAAGGTTTTCTATGAGCACTAATTACATGGCAAATGGTGCTTTCCCCTTTTATTCAGTAAAATTTGGAAAGAGTTACGCCAGTCTCAAGAAATAAGTTTTTTAGTTCCCTAAATCTTCGGTTTCTCTATTTAACTCAGAAAGAAAGCATTCCAGAAAACATATATATAGTACATAGGTATCTATTATTCAATAATATATTAAAATTCCAAAATGCTCTTCTACAACCCGCAAAATGAAATTCCCACCTAAAAAGCCTACTAAAAATGATAAAATAATATCAGCTGACTGGGATTTTCTATTCTCAGGTTTCCTTGGAACCCAAACAGCAAGGAAAACCCAGAATGTACGGACATGTAGAGACATGGGGCTGGTGAGAGACGGAGGACAATCCCTATTACAAAGATTAGATGTTTTAGCGAGAAAATCTTACAATGTATAAAATAATAAAGCAAAAATCAGAAAATCTGCAACCAAAGAGACTAATGAGTAAACAGAAGCAGATTCATTTCTCAAATTCGTGATTTCCGAAATGAAAATACCGCATACCTTCGGAAATTGAAGAATATGAGATCGCGAAATGAAATGCGAAAATGATACAAATCGAATAAAAGGGTTTCAACCCTTTAGGGTTTTCTTCTTCAAGGCTCCGACTTCTTGCTCTTTCTCTTCTCTTAGAAGCCTGGGGCTGAATGGGGGCTGGATTGAGCTATAAAAAGTAAAAAACCCATTTTTTTCAGGTTTTTTTTTTTTTAATTTTGTTTTTGAAGCTTCTGTTATATCACAGTTTCACCCTTAGATGACAGCTCATAAAATATCCTTGGCACGTCCTATGTATGCTGCATGATCATAAATGGATGTATGCATACATACATACAGCATGATAGATTAAACTTTTTTAAAAAATATAGATAACATCATTTCAACAATTAATCCAATATATTTTCGGTGTGTTTAATAACAAATTAATGAATGAAAGAATAGTTTTAAAGTAACTAAATTACTATACTAACATGTGCCAAATAAATTTCTCTTTTAAAAAAATAACTAAATTAAATATTTTGTCCTTTTCACATATATAAATGTTCATTTTTATAATAAATGAGTGTAAATATGGATACTTAGGTATATGTATAGAAGATACGTAAGAATAAAATTGTGCAAGTTGTGAATAATGATAAAGAGAAAAAGATGACAACCAACTCCACACATAAAGTACACCAAATGTATATAAATAATTAAATCCAACATGCATGTGCATAAAAATTGAATCACCACTTGCAAATAGAAAGAAAGTTGTTTAGTTTAATAGCCATTATTATGTATGTAAGAAAAAGAGAAGTAGAATACCCATTATTATCCAACCATACTATTAAGTAAAATAAATGCAAGATAAGTGCGGTGCCACTTTATATTACTTGAAATATCAAATTAGGAAACGACATGTATGGAAATTGAAACTTAAGGTTGGATTTTCTTTGGGTATGAAAAATTATTGAATGAGTATTGTTCTTTTAATTGTGCAATATACCCACATAATGATTTTTTTTAATGAACAAAATAATTAATAATAATGTTACAAAGTATTATAAATTAGGGAGTTTATCTCATAATATTTTATAGACCTTTATTATTTTACAAGCTTAAAATTATAATAAACTTTTTAATGCAATTAGATAGTTAGGGGATTAACTCATGCGCCCACCTCAGTTTCTCCACCTATATAATTTGTTTTTTTAAAAGAAACTGTTTATGTTAGAGCCAAAGATTTAAATAATTATTATATATAATAGCACATCATCGTCTCATTAAATGCATAAACATTTTTGTTGGTGCAGTTAAAAAATAGAAACTTGAATGAAATGCTCCAGATGTACACTTGAAATCAACAAAAAGAGAAGCATTAGACGAATCAGAGAACCAAAGAGCCCAAACAATGTACAAATTCACAGCAATTGAAGTTAGACTGCAAATATGATTCTCAATTGGTTTTCATAAAAATCTGTAACAGCAATAGAATAGAAGCTTCAGTTATCAAATTTACTGTGCTTGTAAGCATAGCCCACATTTTTTGAAGCAATCTGTCTACCCACGCCTTCAGGGTCCTCCCTTTCCATTTACAAGAATGAGGCAACCTAACACCTCCTACTCATCTCATGTATAAGACAATTCTGAAATGGGCTTATGAACCGAGCAGCTTCTTCCATCTAGCATATCCGAGGACAAGGATGAAAAGCACTATACAACCTGCGGTAATACTGCCAACAAAAAGCTCAAATATCCCATTTTTTTTATACAATTGACATGGAATGTTCATTCCGAATGCCCCAGCTATCAAGGTTTCCATAGCTATAGCAAATGAAGCAATTGTTAAAGTCAGCTGGAGTTGAATAAGTTCGTTTCGCTGGTTGTCGAGCTGGATGTTGACATAATCCTCCGTGTCATCTATGTATTCACGAACCTGCAAAAATTCAATGGAAAATAAAACTTTGCCTGGTCTATAAACAAAAAAGGAAAACATCAAAATTGCCTGACCCAATATACAGAAAATGTCAATTTGCTAATAAAAAGCTCATTTACTAGTGAAATTTTACATCTTTTCAGTAGTAGACAAAATATCTATTAGCTTCCATATATCTACTTCATTGAGGAGAGAAAAATCTCTAAACAAAGATAGTGAATGTCTTGAATGAATGCTTGCGACTTCTATTACCTTTCTTTCCAAATAAGGAAAAGAATAGTCCAAGGAATTAGGGAGATCAGCTTCCTCCTAGCTTTTCACAGCTCCATTACTTTCAGAAGCCCAACATTCCACAAACCACAAAGACAAAGTTAGGACTCTAAAGGCTGAATCCCAACACCTTCTGCCTCCAGATAAAGAGATGGTTGGCAGATTCATTCGCATGAATACACAAAAGCAACCATCTAGAGAGCGAATTTGCCTCAAGCAGCTTCCCAGCAAAAGAATGAATGTCAGGAAAGCTTTTTTTTTTTTTTTCAAAATCTGCTTCCAAGAGAGTTTCTAATGTGATTCCAGGCACAACAAATACGCAAAAGGACGTCAAAGACAGATAGTCTCACAAAGGGAAAGATACAAGTGTCCAGGATGAGCTAGGGCTAACAGGAAATCAAATCCAATTGCCCCTAGGTCTGATTACAAGTAGGGTCAAGAAATTCAAGAATATTTTCAATCTTTTGGTTCAAGAGTTGATGAATAACAAGATTACCATTGAAGCCCAATATAAGGCCCGAAAAAAGCTATCAGGCCCAGAAAACCCACGGAAAGCACATGCCTCTCATGTGACCTACCTTCGTCACCTGTGCGGAAAAACTCACCTGTGGGATTGTTGCCCGCGTGAAACAGCCGCAGGGCATGCGAGCAGCAGCATCCGCATGCCACAACGTGCACATGCATGTGCGCAGACAGCAAGGCACATGTGCAGCCCAGGCGCATGTGCGAAACAACTTAGGCGCACGCCCAAATCCCTGTGCGCACGGAAGACTAACCCGCGCAACCAACTGACCCAACCCACGTGCCCAGCCTACGCCAACCCACGCGGCAAACACACGCCACCCGTGCATGCTGCTCGCGTGGCATCCTTTTCCTAAGTCCTTTTGGACTTCTTTCTTCTCTTTTCCAAGCTCTCCAAGAACTCCATTCTACAAATGATGTGAGCATAAACATGAACCATAAAAAGAATGCCCCATCCAAAGGAAGAGGAAAACAAGCCCAATCAAATAACCCATGGGCATAATGGTCTCATCAACTTGCTTGTAGCACATGATAGAAAAGGGTAAAAAAAATGAAGCAATCAGCCAATAAAATAAGAAAGACAACATCTATTCTAATTAAGAATTTCGACTTTAATCTTAATTAATTTACTATGTAATTGCACCTAATTAGTTTTAATTAAATTTCTATGTGATTGCACTTAATTAGGAATTTAAACTTTAATTTTAATTAACTTCTTATATAATTGTAATTTTAAATTAGGAGATTTTTATTACTTTTTTTTATTCACATGACATACCCTATAAATAGACCATCAAGTATTCATTGTAAACATTTAGAAATTACCTCAAAATGTTCTTTTCAAGAGTGATTTTTCTGCTATCTTATTGAGTAAAGAGTGGATCTATTTATCAAAGAATGGTCATGTGTCATTTTTCCATTCCATTTCTTTCATTTCCATTGATTTTAGTTCCTATCTTATCTCAAAAAAAAAAAAAAAAAAACCATACTTCCTATCATTTTTTATAGCGGGTTAAGTAGAAAAGGTTTCTATAGGATCAATTCTTTTGATGCTTTTAAATAAAATTATGTGAGTTTCTGATCACATTACTTAATCTTGGGTTCCACATCATTTGGTATCAGAGATTTGACTCCATCTAAACCTATTATATTTTACTTTTGTACTTTTAAATTTTTACACCATTTATTTTTTTTTTGGTTCATCTATACAAAAAAAAAGAATTATCTCATATATCGATCCAAGTAAAACATAACATCAATTGATGCTTTTTTGGTTTGATAAAATCGTTGTTGAGTATCAATTTTTTTTTAATCTACTTTCTTCCAATTTTGTTTCCTGTGCAAAAAAAAAAAAGAGAAAAGAAAAGAAGAGAAAAAAGAAAGGAAACAAAGAAAAAATTCTCGATCAAGTAACATACTTATTGGGAAAGTACTAACATTTTTGGTACTCAACCATCTTTTTTTAAAACAGTGCAAGAACCAACTATTCATAAGACAAAATCCTCTTTTACTCTACAATTTTTTTGCAATCAGGTGCATTCATACTTACACAGTTCATTAAAGTTTTATATAGAACACAACGTACATCAAAGAATAGATTGATAGGAATATCTTTCGAATTTTCCATTGGGGCAACACTGAATCTCTACATCTTCTATAAACTGTCAATTTTTTTTTCTACTCAGTTTCTTTTATTGTTTTAAACTTTTGTTGCCTAATACATCTAAGCATCTAAATTGCAACTTAGAACTTAGCATAATTGGTAACACACTATTTCTTTCTCTACGTGTTACACTCTTACTTCAAGTATTGGTGCGGTATTTGTTTTATAGGACTCCTTGCGGTGTTTTAAAACAATACTTGAGAATATTTTGATTCAAAAGGATATATTCGGCACTCAACTTGAGGGTGGGAGATAGAAAGGTATGACAAGAGTATGTAAGATTGTCAGATGATAAGAATTAAGTGAGCGAAATACGAGAGAACTGGTGAGGAAAATTTTTTTTTTTTTACTAATCTTTTTGCAAGAAATTTTCTTAAAATATCAAGTGAGCATCAAAACCCCACCAACACAATGCTCCTTATGGAGGTTATGCATGCAGAATTGACACAGCTTAGTCAAAAGGTAGACAACTTGAGTAGTGGTCGAAGCGAAGTAAGACATTGGACCCTTTAAACAAGGCGGCCTAGAACTCAACATCCTGAAAATTAGGCTGGGTCCTGTAATGATGAGGAAGACGATCGGATTAGAAAGAGAAAAGATAGGAGGGACAATAATATTAGCTCCATCAAAATGACAATACCACCCTTCAAATGTAAGAATGATGCAGAAGCCTACCTGGAGTGGGAAAGAAAAGTAAAGCTGATTTTCGACTGCCACAACTACAGTAAAGAAAAAAAGATCAAGTTGACAGCTGTAAAATTCACTGATTATGCCTTAGTGTGGTGGAATCAATTAATCCTCACTAAACAGTATAATGAGGAACGACTAGTCTTTACTTGGAGAGAGATGACGTTCATCATGCGAAAAAGATTCGTACCCTCTTATTATTATAAAGAAATGCAACAAAAATTGCAACTTGGCACAGGAATCTATGTCCGTTGAGGACTCTCATAAGGAGATGGAGATGGTCATGACTAGGGTCAATATTGAAGAAGATACCGAAACAACCATGACAAGATTTTTAGGAGGTCTTAATAAGGAAATTGCCAATGTTGTGGAGTTGCAACACTACGTGGAGTTGGAAGACATGGTACACATGGTCATAAAAATCAAAGAAACAACTCAGGTACAAAGAGAGGGACACATCATATGTCACCCCTACCTACAGCTCAAAATGGCCTAAGAAAAAAGAAAACAAGAGAACAGTCAAGAAAAAGGAAAATTCTGCACCAACTAATACAAAAGGTAAGACACCTAACTCATCTCAAAAGTATAATATAATTAAATACTTTAGATGTCTCGGAATCGAACATATCGCCTCTCAATGCCCAAATAAGAAGATCATACTATTGAGAGATGATAGTAGAGTTGATAGTACCAGTGATTGTGAGAGCGAAGATAATGATAACATATCACTACTAGAGAATGTTGAGAAAAGTGTTGAATGGAATCCAGCCCAATGGAAAGCTTTGGTTATTAGAAGAATTCTGAATGTTCAAGTCAAGCTTGAAGAAAGTAACCAAATAGAGAATATCTTCCACACTCATTATCTAATAAATGGAAAGGTATGTAGTCTCATTATAGATGGCGGTAGCTGCACTAACGTTGCTAGTACTACCATCGTTATAAACTTGGTTTAACATGCACACATCATCCTCACCCTTACAAGTTGCAGTGGTTGATTGATTGTGGAGAGATGAAAATGATTAAGCAGGTATTAGCTTCCTTCTCTATTGGGTGATACATTGATAAAGTACATTGTTATGTTGTGCCCATGCATGCTAGTTACATCTTATTGGGAAGACCCTAACAATATGATAAGCATGCAACTTATGATGGCCATAAGAATCATTATTCCTTTAACATGAACAGTTAGAATTTTACGCTTATACTGCAATCAAATGAGAAGGTATTCAAAGATCAACAGCAACTCAAAAACTCCATAAACTCCAGCTAAAATGAAGGATTAAGCAACATGAAAAGAGAATGTTACTACATAGAAAAGGAGTTAAGAATGCCATCTTTCAAGAAAAAAATATTAACTCACCTCAAACCTTCTTTATTTAATGGTGGTGTTTTGTAGAATATTTTTTCAAAGAAAACAAAAATAGTGAAACCCCCACATAAGAAGTGTTCGATTCGAGAACGAATCATTTTTTAAGGAGAAAGGGATGATGTGAGTATGGACATGGATTATAAAGAGAAGGTCTCATTCAAAGGAAGATGAAAACAAGTCCAACCAATTAACTTAAGGGCATATGATCTTACCAACTTGTTTCAAGCACATGATGGAAAGGGGTAAGAAAATGAAGCAATCAGCCAAGAAAATGAGGAAAACTATATTTATCATAGTTAGGAATTTAGATTTTAATTTTAATTAATTTCCCAAGTGATTGTATCCGGTTAATTTTAATTAATTTCTTATGTAATTGCGCGCACTTAGAGATTTAAACTTTAATTTTAATTAATTTCTTATATAATTGTAATTTTAAATTAGAAAATTTTTATTACTTTTTTT